GTAGCTCTTCTTCCATTAACACTTTGTTCTCTTCCTCCTTGGACTTAATGGCCACAATTTCATCTTTATTAGCTCTTCAAAAGTTGAATATTCACCAAGAAGATTAAATGATTGTTTCTTAAAAGGGTGTTTCTTCCTGTAAAAGGTTATCATTAAACAGCCAGCTCAACTGCTTGGTGCTGATGCTTCAGTGCTGTTGCTATGGTTACCTACAGTTTAATATAGGCACTTTAATTTAAAATGGCACACAGAAGCCTAGGCCATAGGTATGTGATTAAACCTTGTATTCCTGCAAAGTTAATCCACACCTTCCACCCAATCAGAATTCAGTTTTTCATGGCCATGGCATAAGAAAATATAAAACACATCAACCTAATAATGTGGTATTGCCAAAGTGCCTCTAAATAAATTTCAATCTGCCAGTGGTTTCTAAACATGCATTTGGATAATGTGATTGCTAATTGTATTCCTTCATTATAATATGAGTTGCACAGCTGCTGTTCCCTTTTTGCCTAATCTTACAGTAACTATAACTGATGTTAAACCATCAGAGCCTTCCAGTAATGACAATGATTGCTGCATCTGCAGCATGTACTGTAAAAGCACATCCAGTAGAAAAGGGAGTAACAAAGAAGGTGCGTTTGGCTGTCTCATGCAGTATTTTAGCCTGATAAGGGTTGTATGTAAGGACTGTGCTTCATCTCACCCTTGACTATAGGGATAGATTGTGTTTCTTTATGGTCCAGTTGGAGTCTGTACAGAGGATTATTGGAGCTTGGCTGCAATAGGCCTTTCAAGCTTCACTTTAGTCTCCAGAGGACTAACAACAAGTCCAACACTGTCAGATCCAGGTCAGTGAGGCCAAAGGCTGATGCTTTGAAGTGGGCTATGAGATTCTCATCTGGAGGGATCAGATGGAGGCAGAAAAGAAGACAATGAGAGGTGCAAAGCTCCGGTAGGACAGCCAAACAGGCTTCAGGAGCTGTGGAGGTTAGCGTCATTGTTAGAAGCCAGCATGTACAATACATGGATTGCTTTGACTCAGTGAACACCTGTAGAATTCACATGTGTGTACCTTGTGTAATACACAAGTAAGATTCAAGAATGACGAGGGAAACATAATAGTGTGCAAAGCCTTAAAACTGACAGAAAAGAATGCAAAAGTGATTTTGTTGACATTTTTGAAGTCAGATACAGGAGTAATATGAATGATTCTACAGTCAAAGAATGCTGATATAGCAAAAGTAATAAAGTGGGAATAATTTGAGGACTGCACAGGATGTCCACATTTTATTAATCAACCAGCGACATTTAGAAGTGTATCTACTCTAGCAAACATTTTTCTTTGTTCTTTGTGTCTGTGGAGCCTGGTTTTGTAAATACCATAGACTTAATAGATTAAAGGCTACACAGTGATGCCAGTAACATCAGTCCTAGGAAGTATATATACTCAAGATATCTTTATAGATAAGCAGACATTATATGAATTTTGTAGAACTAATAAACTGCAAGAAAAGACACTAATGCACAGAAGCAGGAGGAACTATACTGAGAAACTGGAGAGAAGAAAACAGTCTGGTAATAAATTAGGTTTTGAGAATCAGAATCAGAATGTTTGCTTGTGTGATTTCTACTTAGGCATACCTAATTTCCTATTATAACTTAATAACCAGATATTTTTCCCTTCCAATATGTTTTACAAACACATATTACTGATTTGTGTGCTCACCCAGCACAATAATATAACAAAACCAGCCAACCTTTTCTTGTGCACATACACGAAAAAGCATATAGACTTCTACGTTTAACCCTGATCTCGTCTTGCTTTATTTTTTTCACTAACTTTGACACTATCTCCAGAAATAAATCTTTAGCAAAGGGGCTTGGGGAGATAGTTTAGGCTTTCAAATTCTATGGAGGCATCTGAACCCCACAAGATAGTAAAAACAGATGTGTAATCTGATTGCTATTGGAATTATACAGTAAGATAGTATCAGTCAATCAGTCAGCATATGTATGCACACACCCACCCACCCACACCCACACACACACACACACAGAGTGTACAGGCAGTGGTGATGGTCTCACTTTCTTCCTGTCTAGAGTAATCTCAACCATGTTTTTGTGTCCCACGAGGAATGCCTTTTAACATGTGGCACGGTGGTGTTGACGGTGGCGGGGAAGGGGGCTTGTCAGACAGCTGTTTCCCATCAACACTCAGTCAACTGCAGCCGGTCAGTTGCAAGCCTGCACACAGGATCAGAGGGGCAGAGCAGTGGAGTGGAGTTAAAAGCGATGCGGGGGCCAGAATACCTCCAATTAGGAGGTCATCCCAATTTGTTCTTCCACATCCACGGTACTCATCGGGAGTCTCAGGCCTGCTTCCCCAGTGTTATGTTGAAGTCTGTAGCCAGAGGTGAATGGGTTGGCGACATCTGGGAGTGATTATGCCTTTTCCTCATTGTTTCCTGTCTTTTTACCCCAAACCAGCTCTACTGAGTTCTCTTGTTGTGCTGTGTTGGCTCAGCTCCCTTGGCTTGTTCAGGATCTAAGACCCACTTGTACAGTAATGTAAGACTGGGAAAGCTTAACAGCAGTCGCTCATGCACAGGCGTCTACATTTACACATGTTGTTCACCACATCAGGAGCAGATGAATCTGTTCAGTTATATGGAACATTTTCATTCATGATGTATTGTACCACTTTCTCTTTTACAGGTTTTGATTATCCCTGTCCATCCTCTGTTGTAATCTGTCAAATTACCTTTGTTTAAATTAATCTCTTTGACACATTAAAGATTTTAGATTCCTGCTCATTAAAAATTTGCTCCTCCATGTGCCATTTCACGATTGATAGTGTACAGTTAAAGCCTTTATATTTGATCTGTGATGGAGACAAGAAAGCTGCCTGTGACCACCAGAAATTACTCTTCTGTTGGCTTTCTGGAATTTAGGCTTCTCCAGTTCAGTCTCTGGCTGAAAGCTCTTTTTCTGTGTGAAGGCTACTCTTTGTGGAAAGTTAAGGAATTGCTGTGGTAGCTTTCTGTTGCCTGCTAGTGGAGCTATCCAGCTCTGTAGCAATCTTTTCATTTTACTGTCAGCTATTAAGACAGCCAGCCTTCACAGCAGCTACTCTCAATAGTCCATATACCCTGTTTTAGTAAGGGAGGGTACCTGGATAATGGTACTGCATTAATGTATATCACTGTTAGATTGATGGGTACATAGGTAGATACTGTAACTAGGATAATAACAACTCGTGCCAGTGAATATACTATGAACACGTGTTTGTGTGTTGTTCTTAACCCTTGTGTTCTGTTAAGGATCATAACCCTTGTCTTCTGTTAAAATGCAATGGAAAGAGCTAACAAAAAAACCCTTTGTTATATTGCCTTTAAATGGAGCTCTCAAGGTCATATTTTTTTACTTCAAATACTCAATATGCTTGTTGTTCAAGTGGTCAAAGTCTTGAGAACACTGCTCTCATGTGATTACCAATCAAACTGATCTTGTCCTTGACACCCTGACATAAGCGGTGAGGAGCTTGTGTTGTGTTGTGCTGATTTTTCATGAACAACAGCATACAATATGACACGACTATCCATCCATCCATCCATTTTCCTCCGCTTATCCGGAACCGAGTCACGGGGGCAGCAGTCTAAGCAATGATGCCCAGACTTCCCTCTCTCCAGACACTTCCTCCAGCTCCTCCGGGGGAAAGCCGAGGCGTTCCCAGGCCAGCCGAGAGACATAGTCCCTCCAGCGTGTTCTGGGTCTTCCCCGGGGCCTCCTCCCGGTGGGACATGACCGGAACACCTCCCTAGGAAGGCGCCCAGGAGGCATCTGAAACAGATGCCCAAGCCACCTCAGCTGGCTCTTCTCGATGTGGAGGAGCAGCGGTTCTACTCTGAGCTCCTCCTGGGTGACCGAGCTTCTCACCCTATCTCTGAGGGTGCGCCCGGCCACCCTGCGGAGGAAGTTCATTTCGGCTGCCTGTATCCGGGATCTTGGCCTTTCGGTCATGACACAAAGCTCATGACCATAGGTGAGAGTCGGAACGTAGATCAACCAGTAAATCGAGAGCTTCGCCTTACAGCTCAGCTCCTTCTTCACCATGACGGACCGGTGCATCGACCGCATTACTGCAGAAGCTGCACCGATCCGCCTGTCAATCTCCCGTTCCATCCTTCTCTCACTTGTGAACAAGACCCGAAGATACTTGAACTCCTCCACTTGAGCTGAAAAAACCTTGGAAAAAAAAATCTAAGTCCTTAGAAATCTATGTCCAGTTGATTTTTTTTTCCCGAGGTTTTTTCAGTTTACTGTTAGCTGGATGAGAGTGTGCACAGAACCTTGAAGAGGGTATAGAGCTGGTCCAGTGTTCCACGGCCAGGACGAAAACCGCATTGTTCCTCCTGAATCCGAGGTTCGACTATCGGTTGAATTCTCCTCTCCAGTACCCTGGCATAAACTTTCCCGGGGAGGCTGAGGAGTGTGATCCCCCTATAGTTGGAACACACCCTCCGGTCCCCCTTCTTGAAAAGAGGGACCACCACCCTGGTCTGCCAGTCCAGAGGCACTGTCCCCAACCGCCATGCAACGTTGCAGAGGCGTGTCAGCCAAGACAGCCCCACAACATCCAGAGACTTAAGGTACTCGGGGCGGATCTCATCCCTTTCCCCCCCGGTGCCTTGCCACCGAGAAGCTTCTTAACTACCTTGGTGACTTCAGCTTTGGTGATGGACAAGTCCACCTCCGAGCCCCTGGCCTCTGCTTCCTCATTGGTGCCATGTCTTCCGATGTCTGTCTTCTACGACACGACTACTCAGAGCTATATAATTCCCATATGTGAAAGCTGTAAAAACCGTATCAGTCACTCATGGAAATGCTCTGTTCTTCCAGCTCCTCTTAAAAGCACCAATATGAGCAAATATTATCATTTGCCATTGAAAATATATGGTTACTCTGTTGACTTTTGTACATTTCTGTGTGTTTTCCAGTTTTACGTGACGACTTCAGACAGAACCCGGTAGATGTTATGGTTGCAGTGGGTGAGCCCGCAGTGCTGGAGTGCCAACCACCCCGTGGGCATCCTGAACCCACAATCTCTTGGAGGAAAGATGGTGCCAACTTAGATGACAGAGATGAACGGATCACAGTAAGAGAGATCTTTTTTAAGCCTCAACACTACACATTATTCTGACTAGGGCTGGAACCACTAATAATTTTTTTTCTATTTCCATTATCAATTAATCTATTTTAAGTCTTATTTCTTTAGTTAATAAAATGTCAGAACATAGTGACAAGTGCTCATCACAAACCCCCAGAGCTCAAAGAGACTTTTTCAAAATGAGTGGATATTCAGTTGATAATGGTGTAAAATGGAGGACACCAGTATTTTAAACTGGTTTTAGAAGCTGGATCTAGAGCTGACCTCCAGTTGATACATCATCATATAAAACACGAGGTACTCATATAATCATAAGTCCTTAAGTCTTTGGTATTTAGTTGCTCTTTTCACAACTCTAAAGGGCTGAATACCTCTAACCTCAATCATTTCAAAGTATGGAAGAAAAAGCTTTTAAGTTGAGATTGCACAATAATTTTCTTGTGGTCACACGAATAATGAATAATAGCACCACCTTCACCTTTGCCAATACAGTAGCTACAGAACCGCAAATGCCAGGAAAAAACTGCAAAGATGATCATTTGACATACACACACACGCACATAACCATAACCATAAAATATTACATCAAAAAGGAAAAAACTGTGCATATAATGCTGTTTTATATGACTGATGGCCAAAATACACAATAAAATGGTAACAAGCTAGTGCTAGTAGGTGTCATCATTTTACCTATTGCATGATATTAATCTAATGTGTTAAGTCACCTTGTGGCATACAGTATGCAGCAGTGATTCTCTTTTGGGAAACAAGAACAGGCTTTTTGGTTCTTAAAGCAATCAAGACTGACGAACTCACATAATTTTGTTCCAGACATATATGTGTGTGTGTTGATTTGTTTATTTGAATGTCTGTTTGTGCTAGTGTAGACACAGGAGAATAGTCAAAGCTTGTTAGTATGAAGTGATAGGTAGTGTCTCTCTGGGGTACGGTGATGGACAGGACAGAGCAGCTAGCTCTGATGTAAGAAGAGATGTGGATCGCGGTGGGGGGAGTTGCTCCTGTGAGGGAAATACAAAGGCTGCCTTTTGCTTTGTGCTCTCTGCATGCCTGTCTTTGTCTTCCCTAATCAACTTTTTTATATGGAAATCTGTCTTTGCCATAAGCGTTCATTCAGAGACATCACTTACTGTACAAAGACCAAAAGACTCCATCACAAGTGATTCATGGCCACTTTTAATCCTTTTAAGTGATTCTCTAGTGGCCTGGACCATCATTTATTAATACTGATATACGTAGAGATAAAGTTGTGAGTTAATTATAAGAACAATATTTAAGCAGTTTTCATGTGAAGAACTGTAAATTATGGATTTAAAATAAAATGTTGAGTGCCTTTACACAGCAAAATACATGTAAATCATAAGCAGCTTCACAATGTGTATGCCTTTATTACATCTAAGGTTATGTTAAGAAGAAAGAGAATGAAAGATGAGATTTTGCTGGCTGATATGGGGGCCAGACAAACCACACCTAGATTTCCCTAGCAATGGGATTGCTGCTAAAAAACTAGAAGCAGTTAGTTCAAGAAATAAAAAAGCTCTTGGCCTCCTCTTTAATCAGCTGCTAATGTTTTTAGTGCAGCAGCAAAACATTACAGAGGGTAAGTGGAGCTTTAGTCACTGGCATCAGTTCACCTTTCAAATCCAGGCCTGATAATTTCCTGGGATCGTTACACTGCCACAATTATGATACTAGTTGATCAAAGGACAGTTATTGCATAGACTTAACAAGTCATATGCACATGGAAAAGACATACATTTCTATGCAATGTTTAAATGGCTACCTTCATTCACCTGAATTTTATTTAATGTGTATTTAATAAAACTGTTAGCACTTAGTCTGTGAAATGGAAAGCTTCAGTATGGGAAATATTATGAGCCGATAACAGAGCTATCCAGTGACATCCAAGCCAAACAAAAATACTTTATTGTATTTCTATAGCTCAGTGGCACATCAAGTTTGCTGCTATGTAACTTCTTAATGGGTGTTTAATATAATGCAGTTCCCTTTTCTTTCCTGTGCAAATACGCCACACAAAAACTAAACTATATTAAAACTTAAAAAGCTATACCAATGTATTTTTATTTTAACATGTTTGTTTCGATCCAATAAAATACTGTACCATACTATTTCTGTAGGATTCTACCACTGATGTACTGTGAGATATCATTCATGGGTCATTCATAAACACCCCTTTTACTGTATGCAGTGGTGCAGTTATGTTTTAGTTATTTAAAGCATTACAAAATTATGCACTGGCTCAATATCATCCAAACCTAATCCATTAAATACTGACAAGAATGGCTGAATCTGCCATACTGGTTTCGACAAATTTTCCGACTTGGTTTTTGTGATAACTAGTGGTTGTCACTATGTATGAAAAGCACATGGAGTACAACCACAAGTCGCAAATGAAACCACATCATTTGCAGTTGATCTAGAAGGCCAGCCATGGTTGTGCCACTCTTACGTAGCTGTTATTTATTTAGTGGAAAGTATGAGCTGTGGTATAAGGTTAGCCTGGAGGAGGCCGACTAATAAATAAAAAGTTGTTGATTTCATCTCTGCAGCAACAGTTTAATAATGTATTTCATCTGTGAGCTGGAGAGTGGAGTGCCCACCACACCAGGCGCTGACTAGCATGATTCTGAATCCTCTGCCTGCTAAATGGGCACAGCACTGGAGGCAGCCTTGACCTCTAACTATTACAGGCTGTGTGTATCTCTAGCAGACACTAGATACATTTTTTTTTGCTTACTGCAAGTGAGAAAGAAGCAGTCTTAAATCCTTATAACAGGGCTGAAGGTTTAATTGAAGTTGATGCCTGGGAGAAGGTTTTAGGTGTCTGGGTGCAGGGACTAGCCTCATGCCTGTTTTGAGGACATCAATTGAGGTATGTTTCCCCATTATAGCTCCACATCTGCTCACTGCTGTTGTATCATCACCTCTAACACAGGATAGTTGCAGACTATAAGCACAATAGCTCACATTCAAAGTACCATAAAAGCGTCTACCATGGTCTGTGGGGGCGTGTGGTGGCTAGAATATGAAAAACTAAAAACAGCATAGAGTGCATGCAGTATATCTTCCACCTCTTTGTTGTGTGTGTGAGTGTGCCTGCATGTGTGTGTGCAGAGATCAGTAAAGAGAAGCTAAAAAGTTTGGGAAAGTCAAAGTAGGTTGACTGAACATCTGAGGATTGTCTCTACAAAGAGGCAGTGTCTTTGTTCCCAAGGTTCTGTATTAATGTAGCACTAGACATGAATTATGTAATGATGTACGTGTCTCCCATTATGTAATAATAATGGGTGACCTTTTGTGCAGCTTGAAAGGCAGTGCAAATTCTATTCCTTAAATACAGACAGGAATACACAACACTGCTTGCCATTATGCCTGTGATAAAATGTGGGCAGCATCATGTGTAAAGTAAACGTCCACAGAAAAAACTTTAACTGCAGCACATTTTATCACAAAATGTACACATTGGCAGGATTATTACACACTGGCTCATGTGCCACACCCACTGGGTACAGTACACATAAGGATGCTAAATTCTTGTGCAAATACAGCTGTGCAAATGTGTTCTGTTCTTCCTTTTAGATCCGCAGTGGCAAGCTGATGATCACCAACACCAGGAAGAGTGATGCAGGGAAATACATCTGTGTTGGAACAAACATGGTGGGCGAGAGGGAAAGCGAGGTCGCTGAACTCACAGTGCTAGGTAAAATTTGTAGCTTTGTGATTGGATGCTACAATGCAGTGCTTAGTCTCAGTACCTTCTTAGTTCACAGTGATTTACTGTACGAGGACTTTGTCGCTGTGATATGATAGCTCATTAATTGTACTGATTATGCAGGATTACCATCCAGTTTGCCAGCTTTGGAGGGGTTTCAAACCAAACACTTACTGAGCATCTTTCCCTGCTACATCTGACTCTACATCCCTTCAAACCTTTCAGTACAAAAGCTCGCCATGCTACATCCAACGTCCTCCATCCTAAACACCTGCTTCCAGCCTCTCTTCTCCACCCCCCTTTATTTTCCTAACATTTCCCATCAGAGTAGCACTCTTACCAGTATCACACATTTCAGTGACCTTGGCTAAGGTTGGGAGGATACAGTGTAGTGCCTCTGAGAGCTGTTCATGGCCATGAGAATAATTTAAATGAATGCTGTTTCTGGATGCAGAAATGGGTCAAAGTATATTGTTCTACAAGTTGTGTCTAATGAATAACTTTGGAGACTGACAAATGGTGATCAATAAAATACTAAATGTTTCCAAACTCTATGAGACTGTAACAGTAATATGTAGTCTGTTTTTAGAAGATATTTATTTTTTTTATTTTTCTGTATTACAGAAAAATAAAACTTTAGGCAATCTGTTGAACTGAGACAGTACTGATACCTGCAGTACTGTCGCTTTAATGTCCAAGTAAAAATTGAAAAAAAAAAGCCAAACAGATAAATGATGTAAGTAAGCTATACAAGGATCACATGAAAAGGTGTAGGGACATACAGTAGATAGCACTCACAAGATGATTATGCTGATATTTATTGTGTTTGCTATTGTGCTGTCCTGCAGAGCGCCCAACCTTTGTAAAGCGGCCTAGTAGTGTGGTGGTGCTGGCAGAGGAGACCGTGCAGTTCCATTGTGTTGTTCAAGGAGACCCTGTTCCCACTGTCCGCTGGAGAAAAGATGATTCTGACCTGCCTAAGGGCAGGTAATGCACAAACGCCCTCTACATACAGTAATTTACCATACAAACTCAGTGTTTCAACATTTTCTTTCATCTTTTGATTGTGTGTGTCCATCCTGCATACAGATTTGAAATCCTAGAGGACCATACCTTGACTGTTCGCCAGGTGACCTCTCAAGATGAGGGCTCCTATACATGTGTGGTGGAGAACATGGTTGGGAAGTCTGAAGCATCGGCCACACTCACTGTACACAGTCAGTACAACCCTGACCCTCACATGAAATGGGGTCCAACCCTAGCACCTTCAGGCCCTCAGATTTCCTTTTCATGGATGAAGTATTTTCAAAAAAGCAGTTCCAAGCCGAAGAGGAGAACTAATCTTGTCCTGTAGTGTCACAAATTACCAGGCAGTGACTTTTACCTTGCCTTTTATCTAGACCTAGTTTTCTTCATTTTGCCTTAGGCTGCTGTTTCTCTCAAGTCAGGCAGTCAGAATTATCTCTGGGGTTTTGTGCCTTTTTTTTTTATTTCACTTTCTAGTTGGAGGTCATATGATGTTTGTAGCAGTCACCAGTTTGAAATAACAAGCAGCATAGGCCATAGCAGCTGTTTGTTTATAGTATATTTCAGAATAATGTCATGTATAAACTGAAAAGTGCAAATGTTTACTCGACCACAGAAAGTGGATTCATTTTGTATCTTGCCACAATGATATACTTTAATCAGTCACAGAAAATGAGAAGTAAGACACTTCTCAGAGACCCATTTAAACATGTACACACAACGGTGATGCAGACTGTGAGGACTTGCTGAGAAATAACTTGGCTTCCTCTCACATCAAAAACCTGAGAAAACGAGCATTGTGGGGAGCCATAGCTAATGTGGGCAGTGAATGGAGAAGGGCTTGAATAACTGGCAGATGAGTTGACTTACTGGAGGAAATGGGGAACTATTATAGTGAAAAGGAGTTTAATTATTCAAAAAAATAATAATTTATCACTGTCTTAACCTCTGGTTAGGTCAATCATAGGTGTAGTTTGAACCACAGAATCATTTTTACTGCCCTAGAACATTTGGTTAATATTAAAGAGTTGCCATTTGAAACAGATGTAGCAGTCCAATGAGATTACTCATTTTAAGGTTTGCACAGGTTCTAAGTATGAAATGACACTTTAGTGCTCATTAAAATGATCTGCAATCTTTGAGGTATTAATTTGAGGAGATAAAATAAATAAAACTGCCTAGAAATGACACATATTCTCAGACATGGTGCTTAGACCGGAATTTTTTGTGCTATGCAAAACCATGTGCTTTACCTTATTTATCTACTTTTTAAAATACCATTCTTTAAACATATTGAGCAATGCAGTAAATGCAGTCATAGTCTCAGAGTCCCAAAACCAGCTGGGTAGCTAGGCAGTCGTGTTTCTATAAATTTACAGTAGTTCATAGATGTCAAGATGTACAGTTGTTCCCACCTAAAAATATATTTTTGTTTGTGCAGCACATTTAGGATAGAAGAACCCTATAGCACCACCAGCTCCCTATTATCCCTTCTATGCGGACATAATCCTTCTTTATCACCCATCAGACATTTGCATCATCATTGGCACCTCACAACAAACCAGTCTGGAGGGGCTAACTGGGGCTAAGCAGTGTGCCTTATCATTTGACATCTTGACTTTTTTCATCTATATATTCTGGGCATCTGAAGATGTGCTTTACTTTTTATTATAAAAGCATAAACTCCTTACATATGAACATATATGAAAGAATTGAGCATACAAAATAACTCTGTAGCACCTAAACTGTTAATTGATACATAATTAATAGATATTTCTGTATGAGGAGGACAGCCTTAGTTCAAATAAAAAAATAAACATAAATGTCTACTATCACACTGAAATACTTAGAAATACTGAAATATTTTTGCCATGCACTCCTTCATAATTGACCTTTTACAGCCCTGTCTCACATGAAACTGTAGAATAGCTACATTGGTCCATAGCATAAAACATAGTAAAGTCAAAATAATAGCTGTAAACATTTTTTGTATTGCAGCCCAGTGCTCTTCTTGTTGACATTTTATTGTGTAACAACTGCATGGTGCATTACAGCCAGTGTGGCTGGGGAAGCAAACATTAAGTGTCCTATGGTTTTGAATTATGGGAAGTTAAATATGCTAGTAAGGTGGTGCCTGGTGTGGATGGATCCAACAAACATTTGACTTTTACACAGAAAACCAGAGTTTGTGTCTTGTCTGTGACCTTGTACTTTTCATTTGAGAATGTTTTAACCAAACCCACAGGCTTTCCCTAACCCTAACCATGTCTATACCTAAACGTAACCATGTATAAGGAATGCCAGACATTGTCTTTCATTTTTAATTGCCAGAAAGACATTGCCATGTCACAATTTTTGATTCAGAAAAACGTTACAATGTCATTATTTTGGAGGTGTCATTATGGGAGTAGTACATTTTGCTTTGTGGACCAACCTAGCTACAATACATTTTGCTGTGAGACTGGGTTGTTCTTCACTGAGTTTAATTCAATTTTTATTCCTTGAGTTTAATTCCAATTCCATTGCTGGGTTGTTCTTCACTGAGTTTAATTCCAATTCCATTATGTTCACTCAGTCAAACATGCCAGTACTATTGAGTTCATCATTGCAGTTGCATATCCCTGTACACACCCTGATTACTCATTACACTGCTCTTTTTTTTGTGTCTTTTCCTTTGTAGTCAACACTGGTAAGTTGTCATTCATCCCTCATCTACCATCAGACAGCAACAGGAAATCATGAGCCCCTGTCATTGTCCTATCTGCACTGTAATTCCATCCACCAGTACAGTATGTAATTCATGTTACAGTATGTGTGGGTAAATTAATCAAAATTAGCTTTTTTGCTTTTTTAAAAGTACTGTAAATAATGGTTGCAATTTTTATTCCTTGAGCTTTTTCATCATACTGAGATGTTCTAAAACTAGGTATGATGAAAATGTATCAGGCTGCCAGGTAATTAGGGCCTTTCTTCCCCTGCAGTGCCACCAGCCTTTGCCGTACGCCCCAGGAACCAGGTGGTGACAGCAGGCAGGATGGTCACCTTTCAGTGTGAAGCCACTGGCAACCCACAGCCCGCTATCTTCTGGCAGAGGGAGGGCAGTGAGGTGAGACTGACCCTTAGTCTGTCATCACACTAAATCACTACTGAGTGCAAACACTCTTAATGAATGGGTTTCTCACTCTGTGATCTCTGTCTCCCATCCAGAGTCTCTTGTTCTCTTACCAGCCACCACAGCCTTATAGCCGTCTGTCTGTCTCCCAGAAGGGCAGTTTGACTATTACTGATGTTCAGCATTCTGATGGCGGCTTCTACAGCTGCCAGGCTCTCAACATCGCTGGCAGTGTTATTACCAAAGCACTGCTGGAGGTCACAGACTGTGAGTAAAGGGAGGGCAGATGGTGGCACTTTTATTCAGCGCATTCCTAGCTTCTTTCTATTGTCTTTTGGCATAACAGACTACTTATCTACTGATTTATTATTATTATTATTATTTTTTGTCAAGCAGATATATTCAACTACAAATTGACCTAGATTGCAGACTGGTGAGCGCTACCTCCCTTCTAGGTGTGGTAGTTTGTCTTGGTTTCTAAGTGTCAGAGGAGGGATTTCAGCAGATGTTGCTCTCATGATGGGTTCAAAACTCTCTGTTTCCATGGTGATTGTGTGTAAAGAGTGCCTAGTGTTATTTCCCTTACGTCTAAAGGTAAAATGTATTAATGTGTACAGTATCTAGAGGGAAATAATCATCATAATCAAACTCTTGTTTCCATTAATACAATGCAATGTGTTCTATTTTACTGTAGACACTTGTGAATTAACAGTGTAGTATTGACATATGGTATGGTTTATAGGCAATTTTATAAGTAGCTTAGTCTGAGTCAAGTAACGAAATGATTGCATTAATTGCTTGAAAAAAGCAATTTAAGTGCGCTTGGAGGCCCACACCAGTAATTACAAACCAGCAGCAATGTCTGCAGCCTCCCAGTTAAATGACCTGTGTGAGCATGAATACATGTGTCTGGGTAGATTTGTACTATGTGCATATATTAAATGAATCAAGATAGTTGCTTCAGGCTTAAACAGACAGCTTCTACATCTGCATGCTGCAACTCTATTGCTTACATGGTTAATCTGCTGCTCATTTTGTAACATGGCAGCACACATGATGTTTGCAACCACCTTAGTAGGGAAATGAGATGCATTCAGTCTGAGAAAAACCTGCTACAGGTAATGAAAAAGAGGATGGGTTATGTTTTATATTTTTCAGTACTCTACAGCAGTGAACTCTTGTCTGTACCTGTTTCTCTTTATTCTCCCCTCACCCCAACATTTCTCCATCCCACCACACTCCTTTCATCCCCATTTGTAGTGGTGCATTTGTATGGAAATAACAGGTCCACATTACCTCCAGCAGTTTTCCAGGCATGTCTCCATAACCTTTTTTGGAATATTTATTTATTTATAGAGAACCCCTGCCCCCCATCCACAGGGTTTTAAAGTGTTTGAGACTGAGAGAGTGAGAGAGAAAGAGAGAGAGAGAGAGCACCCTCTGTTATCTAAGTGGGACTGTTATTGGTTGGGCTTTGCTGTTGTGATTGGAGCTGGCTCCAGCAGCACCTACTGCCGAATGAACGATTAGTTGCTCTTCGCTGAAGGGGAAAACTTGATCTGTTTTTCCTTCACTGCCTTCACAGCCAGCTAAATCTATTGTTCTCTCGCTTTGCCAGTTTTCCTCCCAATATCTTTTACATCGTTTCTTTTCTCTATTTTTGGCAGCATTTCATTTTCTCTTTCTCTACTGTCTTAAACTTATTTGTGTCTGTCTTTTTACAACTTTGATATATGGCATGCCTCCTAATCACTTGGCTACCAGAGTTGCTAATTTAATTTATTGAATGTATTACCCTTAATGTAATTTACTTAATTTTTAATTAGCCTTAGTAAAAACTTACTCTTTTTGTGCTAAAAGAAAATGATAGTATCTCACAATAGACAATCACTCGGTCTGTATATTAGACAAACAGTGCAAATCTTAAATTAAATAAAAGGTTATTTTAAATATGCATAATTTGTGCATTCACGGAGACACTCTGAAATTCTATATATAAAAAAAGAAAACTAATATGTTAAAGTTTCTCTACAATGTATTTGCCATTGTAATGCAAGTTTCCCAGTAGAAGTTTCATATGAGCCCAGTTTGATGCAGGCACAACTGGACTATAAGGCATCAACACCATTGTTAGTCTGAAAACTTCATGAAATTGTGGGATGACGGCATCCATCACCTACAGTAACTCAAAAACATAGTGGTTTTAAGACTTCCTTAGTTTTGTGTTGTTTCTAGAATACACCTCACAGCCTGCACATAATAGTTCAGTGTTACAGTAAGTAGTGTATTATATGCAATGAGGCAAGTACTTCATTTTGCTACTTTTGTTTTTTTAATAGCTGGGTCAGCCCATCCTCCTCCTGTGATTAGACAAGGCCCACTCAACCAGACTGTTCCTGTGGACAGCACAGTGGTCTTAGGTTGCCAGACTACTGGCTCACCACCTCCTACAGTCCACTGGAAGAAAGACGGTGTGCTGGTGTCTCCAGTGGACTCTCGCATGTACCTAGCAAACACAGGTTCACTAGAGATTCACTATGCTAAGGTAGGCGATAAAGCAATACAGCAGGTCGTACCAAATGCACTGAGCTGAGCCAACCCAATAATGCCTGCTCGTGTAACCTCTCTCCTCAGCTGGGAGATACAGGCTTCTACACTTGTGTAGCTTCTAATCCAAATGGAGAGGCTTCTTGGACAGCATACTTGCAAGTGGAAGGTAGGATAATCATATTGACACATGGCCAGAAAAAACTGTTAATACTAACTGAATAGTCCTGTTTAGTTAACCTTTTTATTGAATTTGTTGATGTCTCTATGGCAGAGTTTGGTGTTTTTCTCCAGTCCAGTCATCCTACAGACCCTAACCTGATTCCCAATGCTCCATCTAAACCTGAAGTGACTGACATCAGCCAAACCTCTGTCGCTCTGTCATGGAAATCCAATCCCACTGCCAGTGCAACACCTACATCTTTCCTAATTGAGGCATACAGGTTAGACATGGGAAGTATCCAGTATGCTGAAATCTCTTATGTTACTCTATCAAGCTTAATGGAACTTCAGTTTTTCCACTTTGTTTACTACACCTCTCCCTGCAGTTTCACATTAGGAAGCAGATGGGTGACCCTAGCCGAGCATGTGAAGACACAGACCTTTGTCCTGAAGAACTTGAAGCCTGGAGCTGTCTACCTCTTTATGGTCAGAGCAGTGAATGCTTATGGCATCAGTGACCCCAGTCCGATCTCAGAGTCTGTCAGAACACAGGGTCAGTGTGGGGTAACGTTATGTTGCACAGATGCCAGTTAAAGTGCAATAAAGTTTCAGATGAGTTTTTAGTTCCTTTTAGTTGTTATCTAACTGCTTTCCTACCAACAGACAGCACTTCCACCATGCAGGCAGTGGATCATCGTCACATCCAGAGGGAGCTCGGAGATGTGATTATTCACCTGCACACACCAGCTGTCCTATCTTCTTCTGCCGTCAGGGTGCAGTGGACTGTAAGGGGACTGTACCATGTTGACCATCCTGCAGACAGTTAACATTTCTGTGCTATATACAGTATATACAAAGTTGTTAGAGTTAGGGAAAATGTAGGAAAATGTCAAATGTGTGTTTACAATTGAATGTAAACACACACTGTACATTAAAAATAGCCAAGGGTTCAGACCTTTAAAAACCAACAGTGTGTATGCTGAGAGTATGTACTGGAAATGGAAGGTGTTTCATCTTCTCTTGGCTTGATTTGAACCCAAATCATCTGAGAGGAAACTACTACTGACCTCATTTTGTGGTTTAAAGTGAGACTTCATAGAACTGTTCATTTGTATTACACAAAGAGTATTAGCTGAATTTTAACAGATCCTTCGTGCAAGATGTTCACAATATGAAGCTGTAAACTCCAGATGTATGTTATTTTAACTCGCACGCATTACTGTGAACTTCAGATTTTACTTGCATTACAGCAGTAAAACCTACAATATGTTCACACATCTGTTTTGATTCAGATCCAGATTTTTTTGTTGTTTGTGAACAAACAGGGTCTCATTGCCACATGTTATGACATTTACACTGTGTTTTTTCACTAGGTCGAGCAGCAGTCCCCATACATCCAGGGTTACAAGGTGCTGTACAGGGCGCCCTCTGATCATGGCCAGCCTGAGGGTCAGTGGAGCGTCCTGGAGATACGAACCCCACGGGAGGATGGCGTGGTGATTAGTCAGCTGAAGAGAGGATCCATCTACGAGTTCAAAGTGCGCCCCTTCTTTGATGAGTTCCAGGGAGCTGACAGTGAGGTGAAGGTGGTCAGGATGTTGGAAGAAGGTGACTGCCTAAGAACCTCTGTTCTTCACTATTAAATATATCTATAAATAACTAGGAGGAGATGAATATTATCAGTGCAATTTTAAAACATTTTTCAAAGAATATCTTGGTAACAAACAAATTCAAGTAATGTTTTGTTTAGTGTGCAAAGCTGTCAGAGATGCTAACATTTTTCTGGCATGCACACACCATCAGATGAGATACTGTTTATGTCTGCATGGCTGACTGTTTGTTTCATTGCCTCAGCCCCTAGCAGAGCACCCCAGGGTGTTACAGTGACAAAGAGTGATGTCAATGGGTCTGCTATCCTTGTTGCTTGGAAACCGCCTCCTGAACCGGAAGAGACTGGAGTCATTCAGGAGTACAAGGTAAGAAAGGAAGGCTCCTGCCCAGTCCTGTACTCATGCTCTGAGTCATGTGTACTCCAGTTAAAATCTAAATTGTATCTTCGTAAGTTTGACAATGCAGCTTGTGTTACCGGATGCGTCCCTCAGGCAATCACTGTCATTCAGTTCCCTCCTTACATTCTCTTGACAGATTTGGTGCCTGGGCAATGAGAGTCGCTATCATGTAAACCAGTCAGTCGATGGCTCCACTTTGTCTGTGCTCATTTCCAGTCTGGCACCGGGAATTCGTTACAGTGTGGAAGTTGCAGCTAGCAATGGTGCTGGACCTGGTGTCAAGAGCGATATCACTTTCTTTCAGTTAGGTGAGAGCTGTCCCTTAAAAGTGTTCTGTTAGTAAGCTGACAGCAGAGTTTCATAGCCTCCTTTTTGTTGCACAGTGTTCAGAAAATATGCACCATTTAACATTTTCTGAACACACTGACATCTTCAGTTAGGCTTTCTTTACATCACTGCTGTGGGCTTCATGCGCAAATAATATCTCTTTAATTATTCTCTTTGTGTTTTTTTCTTTTCTTTTTTATCAGACTCTGCAGGCCAGATGATGGATGTCCATGAGGAAAGAGACACACTGACTCAGATATCAGATGTGGTGAGGCAACCGGCATTTATTGCTGGCATCGGTGCCACCTGCTGGTTGGTCCTCATGATTTTCAGTGTGTGGCTCTACCGTCACCATAAGAAGAGAAGTCGTCTCAGCAGCACATACACTGGCATCCGCAAAGGTGTGTGTTTCTCTGTTATGAATACATTTCAGAAAAGTGGGTGGATAGATGTAGTTGGATAAATGTAATATATGTATGTTCAAAATGCAAATTTACAACTATATACTATAGGCCAACTGTGCATCTGTAAAACAGGCTAAAAACAAAACAGGTCACTTTTGTAGTTATGTTTGAAGGTTGTTATGATTGTAACCACATCATAACCACACTAAACAGCAGCTGTCATCTCAGTGATATTAAAGAATATTTTCAGAGCCAAATAAGCAGATCACATCAAAGGTTGAAGAAATACAGTACTCTGGTCTAGTCTTCCCTTGACAGAAAGACTTCAGAAACATATTTGCATTTGCGACTGTGCAGACATTCAAATGCTGACCTTTAGTCACTTATTTGTTGGGTGTCATTTCTTCAACATGGCACGGTTCTCTGAGGCACACGCTTGTCAACCTGCCATCATGATGTCTGCCACAATAGTACTGTTATCTTCCCCTCTGCCTTTGGTTGTCTGTCTCCCCCATTAACCTTCACCTGAATACATATGTCAAAGACAGTAGCAGCGCTAAGGCCGACAGTTATTTAAATGTTTGTATGAAGAGATATCCATCCCACAGCAGGTGAGGTTTCACACATGGACCCCGCTTGTGTGTAGATTGAACTTATTTCATCTCCTCTCCTCTCCTTTGTCTGTCCCTACAGTCCCATCATTCACCTTTACACCTACAGGTAAGACTGATTTGCTAGTGTTTGTGAAGTTTTTTGTGTATTTTTTTTTCTTACAAACACACTAGTATGAAATTGTCCACTCTCTTGGAAGGATTGTGAAGAACTGATGTATGCAGTTCATTTTTTGATACCCATTTACATATAGACTATAAAAATGAGAAGATACTGTATGGAAAAATAGCACAATGCTAATGGGATTTTATGAAGACTTCATCTTGGAATACAGCAAACGAAAATGAAATTAAATACTTATTATAATGAAACATCATCATTTGTATTGTATGATCAAGACAAAACAATGTGCTTTTCCAACGATTTACCATATGTCTACCAAGCCCACTTGCTCACTCAGTTTGATTCATTTGATAAAATAAGTAAAAACTGGAGACATTTTATTTGTTTCATGTTTTACCAGTAGTAGATGACAATCTGTCTCAAACAGTGTTTCTATATTTGTGGCGCAGTTATGCTGCAATGGGTAAAGCCACAGGCAATTATTTGTGGTGTCTTTATATATTAAACCAGACAGTCAGACATTGTGCCCTATGCATGGAAATATGGTTTGAAGTAAGTATAGACATTTGAGATTTTTGCCTAGACTCTCTACCTGCCTTTCACAGTTTTCTCTACCTTTGTCACTTCTTCTGTATGACAGCTCATCAAGGTTGAATGTTTTTCTGTTCCTCTTTGCAGTGGCATATCAAAGAGGAGAATCTGTGTGCAGTGCTGGCAGGTGAGCTATATTTTTATCCCTTTGTGTTGTTTAAAGACTAAAAGAAGAAATGCACTCACATTGTAGAAGCACTAGGGGGAGGTGTCTTCCTGCTCTAAATGATAAACTGTTTGGATCCACCCACTGCTTGTTCAACATTGACTGCTAGCACTGTGATCCCTCTTGTCACAGACCTGGCATTCTCAGCATGGGAGAACCACTAAACCAGCTGTGGTTGCCGGACAACTGGCCAAATGCATGTGCTAATCACAAGGACTGTAGCATCAACTGCTGCAATAATGGCAATGGCACCAGTGACAGTAACATGACAACATACAGCCGCCCAGGTTAGTACAAAACTCAGTTTATGTCACAGTTACTACAAGTACTATATATTGTGTGTCTGACAAACCGAAGGTTTGTGAGTTCATGTGTGCTGCCTTGTTTCACATCCTCCTCAGCTGACTGCATAGCCAACTATGGAAACCATCCAGAAAACAAACAGGAGGGACAGCTTGGTTCTGAGGTGGCCATTTACAGTGATGTGAACCTCTCCAACAAGCTCAATGAGATTAAAACTTTCAATAACTCCAACTTGTGCTATACAAGTCCAGGAAGAGATTCAGCAGACACATATGAGCCCATCCCATATGCCACCACACAGCTCATTCAAGCCAGCATAAGAAATAAAGCAGGCACCACAGAGCCTCTGGACATGCCCTGTTGGAAACAGCCCCCTAACCCTCCTCCAATATCAAAAGAGATGGCAGCACAGATGCAGTACAAAATACTTGAGCAAAACAGGCTAAATACAGGTAAGGCATTATTAAATTTGAGTTACAACACTTTATATATATATATAAAAGAAACAGGTGGCAGATTTACTCCACACTTTGTCTTCAGATCATCTGCAAGTAAATGACGGAATGATCCATTCCAAATCCATCCCCTGCAACCAGACCCGTGATCACAGCACAGGAGGCTCTCACCATAGCTCAGACAGAGGTAGCAACAGCACCGCAGGTAAGGCCAACGTCTACTCTGCACAGTGATGAATTTTACTGAAGCAAACCATAAGTCGGTGTTTACCTTGGTGTTTTCTTCTCTTTTGTCAGGGAGTCAAAATCAAAAGAAAGCAACACGGGCCCCAAAGATGCCAAAACATAATGCAGTGAGCTGGGGAGAAGCCCTGTCTCCTCCTCACGCTATTGCCTGGGACTGTGATGAGTATAGCCTACCCATGGAAAGGAGGTATGGGAAAAACAGGAACACACAAATGCATGTTTACAGCACTCACAGATACACAGAGGTACTAAATGCTGAACTGGGGTCTCTAAAACAAAGAATATACATACAGACGTAGACTTTAAAATGCCCTAAAATATGCATCAGTCTGTGATAAATGTATTCCTTTATTTGTTCTTGACTGACAAATCAAGGCATAAGATAAAGTCGACTATTGCTCAGTGTGTCACTACAGCTGCTCCTTATTATGTTGATGATTGGCAAGCTGTAACAAGACAGATTTAAATGGCTGAAATAAAACAATAATATGACAAGGTTATCGGTTTTGCACATGCTTAATTTAAGGTATGCTGTGAACACTTGCATATCTTCTGTCAAATCACTTTGAGCCAAACTACAATTTAGATCAGTTTGAAATGACTTAATGAGTCACTTTGAGCCAAACTACAATTTAGATATTTGTCACTGTCAGAAAATCAGTTTGAAATGACTTAATGAAAAAAAAAAACTGTAAACACAACAGAAACATCAGCATCAACATTCCAGCAATATTTTTTTTAACTTAAATTCATTTTTTCTATCATGGAAGTCTGTGTTTTGATGGAGTACCAAGGGTTTTGTATCAGTTTCTAATGAGTAGTGGCAAATGTGTTGGGACTGTTTTTTTAGGTGTTACCTCATATCACTTGTACTTTTCTCTTCAGTTTTGATCCTGAGAAAAGAATAGAAGACTGTCCCACTCCACCAGCTAGAGGGGCAGCCTCATCCTCCACTGTGTCCACTAGTCACCCACGAACAACATCACCACAGGGACACCTGAGTAATGGCCTGCATGAAGGAGCTGAAGACTTGAGGTAAACATAATAAACCTCTTAAACATTCACTCCATACATTCAAAAGTTTACCAACTGTCTAGCTGATACTAAAACATTTTTTACTGTGAAACTGCACAGATGTTTCTTTAATGCACTTTCCAGTCATCACATCACCAGCCGCCCTTGCCCTCTCTCCCCAACACACACATACAGCACCATACCCCTCTGCATGGATACTGATGAACAGGAAAAGGATGAAGAGGAGGCAGAGGAGGAGAAAGATGCAGGGCTCACTAAAAGTCACTACAGCCAGCACCATAACCAGCAGAAGGAAAAACACCAGTTGCCCCAGCCCTCTTCAAACAGGCTGCTCTTCCATGGGCTGGAGCAGACTCCAGCCTCCAGCACTGGGGATCTAGATAGATCAGTCACAGGGTCGATGGTTAACAGCTGGGGCTCAGCATCTGAGGACAACATCTCATCAGGCAGGTCCAGTGTTGTCAGCACCTCAGAAGGATCCTTCTTTACAGATGGTGATTTCAACCAGGCAGTAGCCTCTTCACGGGACATCGTAGGGCTGCGCATGTGCAGATACCAAGAGGAGTCTGGTGAGAAAGCTTCTATGGAAGACAGGTTTTATTTTGCAAATGAAACTTATTTAAACAAATAAAGTGATAAAAACAAATGAGAAACAGCATGAAAATCCATGCAAATTGTCCATTTGCTCAGTTACAAATTTTACTGGTTTTAGGAAATATCCTTTTTTACTGAGAATATAAAATATGTTGGTTCAAGGTTCTTCTGCAGTTTCTTATCTGCGTCTCTCGTCCTTTGTGGCAATACACTTCTGTCACTAATGTCTTACCATTTATCTCAGCTCATATTTTCCAGAGGTCTCTGGTGTTCTATTTTTTTAAGGAAAAATATATTATAATAAACAAATTACAAATAAACATTATGCATTCACTAAACACACTTTATTTAACGACTAGAGAGAATGAAACATCTTTGGCAGGTGAATCTACATGTTTTATCACTAAATTAGAGATGTTGCAACCTGGTTTTTAAATCTTAAATATTTCTCCATAAACTCAAATAGCCAGGTCCTGATTGGTGCTCAGAGCTACATGACATCACCTTTTTTTGCCACCTGTTGACTGAGAGCAGCGTACAAACCAGTGAGAAAAACACAGATAAACTGGTAGACAGAAATCCTTCCAGCGAAATAAGCTAAACAGTTTTCGATCATGTGTTCATGCAGGACCACATCTGTGCTAAATCTGTTTAACGATGATTTTAGGCTGGCAGCACCAGCGACCCAGCAGCCCCATGTCCACAGACAGCAACATGAGTCCTGCAATAACACATAAAAGGCCCAGGAGGCATAAACAGAACCAGTCTGGTCAGCAGGGCTACCAACCCAATGATGGTAAAGATTATGTAATTAGATCAAATTAGATTAGAGATTCACTCCTCTGTATCTAATAATATGAATTTAATTTGGCTCTTTGTGCTCTACTGTGTCCCCAGATTCTTGCATGCCTCTCAATTTCACCAGCCATATGTCCCATGGTGACTATAAAGTGAGAGGAGCCACGCTGCCTCGGATGGGCTCTGGGGAAGCCAGGGGTCGACGAGGCAGCACTGGGATTCACAGGGTCAGGGAGGGTACGTTTGAGGAGAGAGAGAGCAAGGAGAAATACAAGACTCCAGTAGAAGAAAAAGGAAACAGCAAAAGCCGACAGCACTCAGGTACCTGATGGGTTCTAATTCCTACTATGCAAGCTTTGGATATTTTTCATAAGTCATAAAGCATCTAAAATGTTTTCATTTTTGTCTCTCCTTCAGAGTTTGGAGATGTCCTTCTGTATAGTCGTCCCTCTTTCCCATCAGGTCAGGCTCAGAGGGAACTTAATGATCCTAATTCATCCAGATTAGTGTCATGTGGCGATTCGAGAACCAAACAGGGAGGACCGGTGGCACCTACAGGACAACTGGAAGAGGTAAATCATAATCAGGAATCACAACCCCACATATATGTTTATGTTATACTGAATGTGTGTAAATGCCTTGTTAACATTAATGGCACATTTGTGTTTTCACAGTTCCTGCAAAGCTAAGAAACAATGCAAGCACAAAAAGACTGCCCTCCACTTGCTTCAGACAGAGGACTCTGACCTTTACATAATGGACAAAGAATAAAAATACTGCACAATCCTTGCTATTATTTTCTACGTCAAATTTCTCAGTAGGTGTTAAAAAAAGAAAAAAGTGCTCTCAGTCTGTTAATTTCACTTTGATGCACTGTTTGTTGTTTGCTTTTTGGGTGACTGGCTCCCAGGAGCTTGGCGGATGAGAAACTGACTCATAAGAGTGTTTCTGGTCACTGAGAACAGTAAGATGAATGCACATTTGATGGTGGTTCTGTCTACAAAAATATTATCCATGACGACTGCTTGCTGAGGTCCGTATGATCCACACTTGTCAGTTTCTTGTTATTTTACTGTAATTAATATTCAGTCATTACTAGCCATCTTGTAAATTGTTGAAATTGTTTATCTGTCACAGAAGTGCTTCAAATTCAAATCTTATATAAAGTGTTAATGTTTTATGAGTGATGTACATCTTGTGTTTGTATTATTTGTTCAACCTTGGTTATAAAAGCACAATCACTTAATTGTATTCTAAGTCATTATATAATGAAATTCAGTCTGGAGGAACGCAGTCTTTGGAGTCATGTTAGTCATTTCGTCAGTTGAATCCTGGCTGAGAAAATGATTTTGATTGTGCTTGTCTGTTCAGCTGCGTTGATTCGAGCTGCTTTCATTCAGGTTTGAATGATTTGTTGTGTGTCTGTTGAGAGAACTGCATGCAGAGTCAGCTATAAGGGTTTTTACTTAACATCTTGATTACTTTGTTCTCCCTTTGAGAGGATGAAAACTGATCATGGACTGGTTCCGCTTATTGTTTCTCCCCACTGAGTCCATTCATGCAAACTGCTGTTCCTTTCCCACTCTGGCCATAACTTCTAGAGTAGGACTGGACAATGCACTGTTTTTTTGTTTTGGTATGTTTGTTTACTTGTTTTTCAAATTACAGACTCTCTTAACAACCTAAATTCACTCATATACCAATAAACGGAACTGTCTGAATGAATACTATATTATTAAATGAAGAAATGTTACAACAACCCTCTAACCAAAAGTTTAGCCAGTTTATTTAACCAGTACAGCCCAGAGATCTAAAACCTTAAACTGGACACAAGTCAGAAGTACACCACTACAAGAAAGTGAATAGCTTATTTACTGTATTGTTAGAAAATTGAATGTACATTGAGATATAGATTTTGCTCATATTGTCCAGCCCTAATCTGTAATGTATGGAACAAATATCTCACTTTAACTTCTCTGTTTGAATAAATATTGATGTTCCTTAAGCAACAACAAATAATCGTTTGCTTATTTCTGTAACCTAGTCTGTCTTTTATGCAGAGGCCATGCAGAGTTTGCATGTTCTCCCTGTGCCTACGTGGGTTCTCTCTGGGTGCTCCGGTTTCCTCCCTCAGTCCACAGACATGCACCTTAGGTTGATCGGTGACTAAATTGCCCATAGGAATGAGTGTGGGTGTGTGTGGTTGTCAACCCTGTGATAGACTGTGTACCCCACCTCTTGCCCAGTGTCAGCTGGGATTGGCTCCAGCCCCCTGCGACCCTGTTCAGGATAAGTGGTATAGATAATGGATGGATGATTTCCAGCTGTCACTGGGTTTTTGCTGAGTGCCTTTCACATCATCCCATATGTAAGCCCGTTCAATTCTGTAGCTGTGAGTTGAGGAGGTTGCAAAAGACAAGGGAGAGGAAATCTGTGAAGATGTGATGAGACATGCTGTTTAATTAGCCTCATTTATGTGCTTTCATCAGCAGAGCACCTGTGTGGTGTTGAACTGAAAAAAGTCTTTCACAGGTGTCTGTATGTGTACATGGGTGAGTGGCAGGCTACTATAGTCAGTGGTGCATCAGTGAATATATTATTATAGAGAATTCATTGAGATTTATTAACAAGCTTGATCCCTTTGATCCAATTAACTGTAAAAATGACCCAAAACAACTGGTGACTACAGTCAATATTTAATATTACAATGATCACATGACTACATGTATGAATGTAAGGGTCTTTTCTACTAAAGAGATACACAGAGGATTATCACTTGACTCTGCAGTTCCCTCACAGCTCTATGAAACTTTTTTAATGTCTTTCAGCTCATTGTTTTGGTTATCAGGTCTGCAGTGTAAATGTTTTACAGTAGTTATTCACTTTCAAATCAGAAAAAGCTTGATCTATTGCCCATTGCTGAATATCAAAAGAAAAGCACAGGGGCAGCAGCTACAGCCATAACCATAACAAATCAAGTCTTTTAAAGCTCCACTCAAGCTAATAACAATTCACCTCTGCTTAGCTCTTTTCCTACTCAATTAAATTTGGCTAAGACGTTCAAAGGTAGAAAGATAGCCTCTTCATCTTGGAAGTAGGATTGAAAGTGTCAGTTTTGTCTTTATGCATATGTTTAACAGAATGAACAAAATATTTGTGGGAAAAGAATAATATAAAGATCCAGGACCACTCATCACTTTTCAACCCAGAGCCTCCAACATCTGTCTGTAGACTCAATGATACACAGCAACCCACATGACAAACCTCACTTCATTTCTGTTAGAATCAGTGGTGGAAGTACTTAGATCCCTTACTTAAGTAAAAGTAGCAATACCACAGTGTAAAAATTCTTATTGTTTAATTAAATTGTGGGCAGCACGGTGGCACAGTGGTTAGCGCCGTTGCCTCACAGCGAGAAGATTCCAGGTTTGGGCCCCACCTGGGACCTTTCTGTGTGGAGTTTGCATGTTCTCCCCGTGCTTGCGTGGGTTCTCTCCGGGTACTCCGGCTTCCTCCCACAGTCCAAAGACATGCAGCTTAGGTTGATTGGTGTCTAAAATTGCCCATAGGAGTGCGTGTGTGTGGTTGTTTGTCTATGTGTTAGCCCTGCGATGGATTGGCGACCTGTCCAGGGTGTACCCCGCCTTCGCCCGATTGCCGGCTGGGATTGGCTCCGCCCCCCCGTGACCCCGCTCAGGGAACAAACGGTAGAAAATGAATGAATGAATAATTAAATTGTTATAATTAAAAGTCCTGTGTTCAAAATGTCACTTAAGTAAAAGCACAAAACATACTTAAAGTACTAAAGGTAAATGTAGCCATTATGCTGAATGGCACATTTAACATTAATTATGATCATATTATTGAATTATAATTGATTATGCATTGTTGTGTATATCACATGTAATGCTGCAGCTGGTAAAGGGGGAGCCAGTTTTAAGGAGCCAAATTGTCTTATAATCTTCAGATAGTGAAGGTCTTGATGGTGTTAAAAACAAAGTCAGGCTTAACAACAGGTATGCAGTTTTTCCACAGGGTCTGGGCCTAGATGCCAAGCAAAGGTACTAGTGGACTACAAGCGATCATCTGGCGACAAGGACACACCAACACTCTCCTTAAGTACTGCTCTGATAATGGAGAGCAGGTGTGCCTCGCCGCCTGGAATGCACTCCCACCTGTGCGGGGGTGGTGCTACTGGTATTACTCATACCAGCTGATGAGGTGCTGGGGGTGGCCAGGGCCACAGACGTAACACCATGAAGACCTTCCAGTTCGAAATAAACATATTTTCTGCAATGCAGTAAGAGTTTTGTTTAAAAGTTCACATTCACACTTAGTGCTGTGTGTGTTCTAAACAACTACTGTAAAAGAACAACCTAATATTGTGGAAATAGTACAATGTTTTCTGAGAAGAGAAGCCTGTGATTTGTTACACATCATACACAATCACTGCCCTTACACGGTTTGCCAATTTATGGTACAGCGGGGTAGGTGAGAGGCACAAAGGCTACTTTCAGTAAAACCTGTGAGACCACCTCTGGTGCGTCATACCCACAAAAAAACCTGACCTCTTTTGTTGTTGTACAGCTGTCAACAGGTACAACACAGTGTGATCCACCTTTTTTGTCCAATTACCACCTCAGGATTGAGTGATGTAGACTGGTCTGATTAAATGGTAGGTGAATAATTTTATCGCAAATGGTGAAAAGCAATGTCTACTTCAATCAGTGCCACTGGCCCATGATTGCTGAATTTTAAAAATGCTTTTTTTTTTAAACAAAACCATAATTTCCTTCATTTTCTTCATTATTGCCTCGGTGCTCATTAAAAATATAGAAAAACTGGGATGTTCATTGGCAATACCTAAATACCTAAATACAATCTCGAATATGCAATATTTATTGATTTTTAAATCACATTTATTGAGTCATTTGTTCAATCAGCCTCTTCATGATATATTTCAATAATTTGATTGCAGTCTAATATAATTCTGCAAAAGATTCAGTTGTGTGTTACTGTCTTCTCTGGAAAATTACTTCTCATCACCAATGGCTGCCTTCATCCCTTCATCTGTTTTGTTTTTCCATTTTTCAAGGACAACTGCCTACAGTAGGTTATTCACAAGTGTTTGCATTGATTTTAAGATAATGTGTGTGCATGTGTGTGAGCTGCTGCCAAGTTTCATTTTCAATTTTGTCATCTATCCAGGAGATTCTCTGCAATCTGTTGACAAAGAGCTGTCCATGACAGCTAGGGCAAATGTGGCAGAATTGCAGAGGGGCCCACAGAAGAAGTGAAATTGATGTCTGTCAACCCTGAAAGTGCTTTATAAGGGGACTGGAAAATAAAGGGGCAGAAGAATGTATGGCTGAATGCTGTGCTGTGAATGAAAAACCTCCTCTGACCTATTGTACCCGCTGAGCTGCATGTGTCATCAAGGTATTCAGTTTTCTCCCATTATCACACACCATATGTCAAATGTTAACATAAACCAAAATATCATTTTGTTATGAAAGTTATCAGAGGTTCTGAAAAACTGGCATGCTGTGGCCTTTTGAACAGGTACATGCAGTCTTTCAGGCAACAGGATTTTCATAGTGCACTGCAGTCTTTCAGGCAACAGGATTTTCAACATAATGAGGTTTATTGAGGGTGTGCAGAAGGCACTGTTGCAGGAGAGAAAGTCTGGAGGTGATAAAGTTATTGATTAGCTTCACAGCAGTGAAATAAACAGGTGGTGTCAGAGATAGGCAGCATTTCTCAGCTCTGAGAGGCGATGCTTTCCTGTGTCATTCCATCCTTGTGGGAATGGAAGGTGCCAAGGTCAAGCATGAGGGGAGGAAGTGACATAGAGTTTAGTAAGAAGTTATGAATGCGTGTGTATGTATGTGTGTGCGTGTGTGTGGGGGGGGGGGGAGGGGGTGCAAATTTATGATTTTAAATTTATTGCGGTTGTATTTGAAGAGGATTGCTTTCTCTTAAAGCAAGCAGTTGGTGAGGAATTAGGAGGTGTCAGAGATAATGAATATGGGGCTGAGGTGGAATTCACTGCAGCAGTGGTAAACTCAGATCTCTTTAATTCATATTTGTTTATGCTGCTGTCTGTCACTAAAAAAGACGTCTGCGATCCAGGGGAGGGTGGGTTCTGTGATGCCAAGAGAGGACTTAGTGTGGCAGATGAGCAGGGAATGCTAAGTTGAAAGCTGCGCTCAAGGCAAAGAGGATGATGCCACGGCTTCATTTGGCATCAGGAGAAAGAAGGCAACTTTTAGAGTGCGCACATGCTGATATTGAGAGGTAAAAATTATCAAGTGAGATTTTCACATACAATGAGGTTTAAATAGCTGTTACAAAATATATAGACTGTGATAAAAATACTTCTTTGATTTAAAATTACAAATATACAATATTATACCACAAAATGAAAAAAGAAAGGTGGAAAAATGTGTTATGGGTTGGCAAAACGTAGTTTGCACAATGCTTTGAGGAATAAATTAGAATATTGTTCTTTGATAATGTCGGTTAAATACAAACTATAAAATCTATTCAGTTCAATCAAGTTGTATTTGTATAGTGCCAAATCACAACAAAAGTCATTTCAGGACACTTTACGAAGTGTACAAAGTAAACAAATCCCCCTTGAGCGAGCACTTGCTAACAGGAGGGGGGGGAACTCCCTTTAACAGAAGAAACCTCTGACAGACCCCAGCCTTCTGCCTCGACCGGTTGGGGTCAACAGCTTTTTCAAGGATTTTATAAATAAATGGGAGATTGGATATTGGTCTATAATTAGCTAGGACACCTGGGTCAAGATACATTTTTGAGTAGAGGTTTAATTACTGCAACTTTAAAAGCCTTTGGAACATTCATTCATTTTCAACACATCATGGATGTGTTGATTAGGGGGAAGACGTCTTTGAGCAGCCCAGTTGGGATGGGGTCCAGGAGACATGTTGATGATTTAGATGAAGCAATTGTTGAGGTCAACTCAGAGAGATCTATAGGGGAGAAGTAGTCCAAGT